ATTATAATATTAATATGATAATACTGAAATTTAAAGGCTGAAAGAAAGAACTCGGTACATGTGAAATACTGCAAAAGATATGATGCAATAATATGATGGCGCGTTTTTTCAAACTGCGGCGTAAATATATATCGGAAGCAGTAACCCGGAAGTCTGGAAAGAGCAATTTTGCCACTAGCGCCACCACCATTTCTGATTTTCTAGGATACCTCTTTGCACATGAGAATGAGTACCATATTCATTCAGATAGCATTCGATTGCTCGTATTCACTGCAAGCGAGTATTAGGGACTTTCGAGTGCCGCAATGTTAAATGGAGAACCACTGAGTATTTCGCGGCATAATGTTTTTCACCAATGAGACTCTCCCTTCTCGGTGATTGGAAGTGCGTGTAATGTTTTTAGTGAGAATGGTCCTGTAATCTAACCTAAAAGTTTACCTAAAAGCGTACCCGGGTGATTTTTTCTTTAAAAACAGATCAATTCGATCAATTTATCAATAAAAACGCAAAATTTGTTCTGCATTCTGCATAAGGGTGTAAACAAATAAAATTAATAGTGAATTACAGTTATTAGAAAAAAAATGATAGATATTAATTCAATAAATAAGTGTGAAGGAAAGGTGAGTGAATCTAACTTTATATGTTGGGTTTTATTGCTTAAAAAAATGTTTTGGTATTTTGATAAAAAATTACAAAAAAACTTTTCATATGTAACTTATAGATTCATTCAGTGTGTACGCTTTTACATTGTTATTTAATATAATTTAAATAATTTTCAAAGTCACCCCGATGAAACATATTTTACCTTTATTTTCAGCTTGTTATTTTCCTGATATTTGTGTGTGTTCAGAACATCCCAGGAAATATTTGTTTGTTTGTACCAATTAAGTGCACAGAATATATGTACCAATTAAGTGCACGTGAACACCTTGTTTTTGTCATCTAAAATCGCCAAGCCTCATTAGGGTTTTCGGGCTTGCAAAGATTAAAAGAAAAAAAAATTCTAATATTTCTATTTATTTTAATATATCCTTCAATAAGGATAGATTTTTCAAAGTATTTTTAAAAAAAATACTTGAAATGCCGCTTAAAAAATACTTATACTACTTATCCTTCAAAACATACTTAAATTACGGATTATTTAAGTGCACAGTAGGGGTACACCCATAGGACACAGGACTTCTAAATTTTTTGATTCCTCTTTTACTAAAAGCAGGCTCCTACTTAAAATACCAATTTGATACCTCTATCCATTTCTTAATGGACGGATTCTTAATTATTACTTCTACTTAGAAAAAAAAAATCTTTAAATCTCGAAAAGAATAATATTTGAATTATCAAGGCATTGAATTCCTACTGATCAAACACCTACATCGAGGAAGAGCAACCGTATAATTTTATATTTAAAATTGTTGTAATTCTCTCATTCAGCTTATAAGTTAATAACAAAACAAAAAAGAATTTTTTTAATCTGTGTAGATATAGTTTGAATTAGGTTTAAATTTCGCTAAATCTGCTGGTACACCTTTTTAATCATTTCGCATTGGAGAATTACATGTCTCAAAGAATTTGTCATAACATGTTTTTTGTCTTAATTAGGTTTCAATTTCGCTAAACCTAATTAGGTTTAAATTTCGTTTGTTCTAGTTTAAATTAGGTTTCAATTTCGCTAAATCTGCTGGTACACTTTTTTATTCATTTCGCATTGGAGAATGAAACGTCTCAAGGAACTTGACATAACATGTTTTTTGTCTCCAGCCCCACTTCGGCGTCTTTAACAGGCTATAGTGCGTTTGGAAAATCACTGAATCAACATGAAATTTAATTCTTTATGCAATAATGCCTCTTTATACTTCTTAGTGTTTAGACTTAATTATTAAACTTTTTTATATTTCATAACTGAGCTCAACAGGTTTTTGTATACTGATTAAGTTTGAAATTTTGTTTCACCTCTACTATCTGTAGTTAATCAGGCTAAGTAGTGTGTAGAAATCAATTTTTATTTGGGTTTTATGTAAGTGTTTTAATTTTTATTCCAGTTGTCCTTCCGAGGAATCAGGAGCAGCAAATTCAAACATGTTTATGGCTCTGCTGGCAAAAAGGACAAATGCTTTGACGGCATAAAAATAACGAAGAATGCTCATGACAGCTCATTTTGTGCTGTAAATCCGAAATTCATAGCAATTGCAACAGAAACAGCTGGTGGTGGATCATTTTTAGTTATTCCTCTTGAAATGGTATGTATATATGCAGTTTTACAGTTTTTTTTTGTAAATTTAATGTGTGTGTATGTTTAGGATATATATATATAAATTACTTTTTGTGTGGAAGAGTAGTCAGCTTTCATATTCAGGGGTCTGTCCAGGCCGAATTTACTACCGTTTAGCGTAGGGGTGCACAACCTTTTTCAGTGAAGGGCCACAAGCACAGCAGATTGACCAATGAAGGGCCGCATGCCAAAGTGTTTAGACCGACATATTGAAAGCAATTGTTGGTGGTGATTGTTATATAAACATCATTGTTTATATAACACTAAATTCTTTTTGTCGGTTAACCTTGTAATCTCTTTGCAGAAAATACAATACTTTAAAACGTTTAAAATTAGAAAATGCAAAACTGATTACTTAAGAAGGAAAACAGAATTCGAAAATCAGAATCAATTTATCGGAAAANTAGGTACCTCTCTGAAAAACCTAGACAGACCCCTGATATTCAACAGGATCTTCTTCAGCTGCATTGCCTTGAAGTAATACAGCTTCAAAGGCGTAGTTGCTTGCATCTGTATGCAGCATATACGGTTTGTTCCATCAAATTACTTCAACATGAGAGATGGAACGTCTTAAAGGCATTTTATCAACTAAATCCCCATTTCTATATGGGATTTTTTTTCTTCTTTCCAGTTCACTTAAAGCTTGTGATATTTCTGCTAAGTTCTAAATAGATCGGTGAAACCAATAACATGTTTGGAGATAAGATTGTACTTATATATTTTGAAGAGGTGGAATTCTCTAAATTAAGAAAATTTTTTCATTGTCTACTTCAATAATTTGTTGCTGAAACTAAAATGCCTTTGCCCTAACTGACCTTGATAATCCGAGCACTTCTGTATTTCAACAGTAGATCCTATATAAAAAATGACTATACATTTAAATTTTCTGTTGTTCAAATTTTGTTTTGCTTTAAATTTATTTATTTTTTAAATTTTTTTTTAGACTGGTCGGATAGATGCCACTGCTGGAAGAGTAACTGGACATCATGGGCCTATTTTAGATTTACAGTGGAATCCTTTCAACGACAATATCATTGCTTCTAGTTCTGATGATTGCACTGTAAGTGTTGATTGTAAAATTAAACTACTGATTTTTTGTCTAATGTAAGCACCTGCACGTTGTGCTTATTTTTCTAAATTTAATTGCTAAAATAATGTTGATAAAGTTGTAGTGTAAAAATACGTGTAAAATAATATGAGAAATCAGGATAAAAGAAATGTGTAAATAACCATTGATCACAAGTCAATCCTTGATTATCACAAACAGGCATCATTTAAATTAGTAGCCCACAAAGACTAAAATATAAATTTACCCATAATTGAGTATATCTGTAATCTTAAACTAGGAGTCTTTAATGAGACATTAACTTGCTTTTTTATAGATACTTAAGCCCAATACCCATTTCTTACCATTAGGCTGGGATTTTTAATTTTTGTGAGGATTGGAAGTGATAAAACAGTCTAACAAGACTAGGCCAATACTATCTAGCAGGTCCCCAGACTTGTGGCAACAGAGCGACATTGTCATAAATCGTTACAGAGTTCTTGCTTAAAGATTTTTCATTTGGGAAGCAGAAAAGTTTGGTTTTCCTTTTCTGCAGAGTTTTTCAAAAGTTTTTTCTTCTCTTTTGCAGAATTATTTTCAAAAGATGCCTCTTTTGCGTATCGGAGGGTGAGAAATGCTGGCAATTTTTCTACTCTCCTTTGAGAATAAAAAAATTCCCTAATAAATAAAAAATTCCGAAAAATTATGAAAGTTATAAAGATAGTTCACTCCAAAAATGATATTCTATTTTTCATGTTTATTTTAATTCATATTTTCATATTTTTCATATTTTATTTTTTAATAAAATGTGACTGTGAGTGCAGATTTCGTTACAAATTCAGATTTGTAGCAAAAAAGTAATTGAATCATTGCAGTATAATTGTTTGCCATTATTTGGTTGAAATAAAAACCAATTAAATATTTTTATGTTATTACGCTCATGACACTTTTAAATCACACATTTGAGTTTTTACTTTATCACTCACAACTAGTGCCTATTCCATCATAAATATATGCTTTTTTCTGCAATTATTTTTCTGAATTTTCATTGATATTTACTGATATTTTCTTAATTTTTTTTTTTATAATACTGATGTTATTACGGCAGACAAAGTTTGAATACGGAATCGAATGCTCAAGTAATAACTCTTGCCACACTAGGTTTGTAGATTTAGGCTTGGTTTAAAATATTTTTGTGACTGTTAATGCTACAAATTTTCCCTTTTAAAAAAAGTTATGTTTTTTTTTTTTTAAATTTCATTTTACTACACACAAAATTTGAATCCGTTAAAAGGTTTAAAATCCTGTAACCCTAGTTTCGCAATTCCCTCTTTACCCTATTCCTATAACATTGGTCCTGATACTGGCTATTTGTTGCTTCTAACTTGAAAAAACTGTTAAAAACACATCTGGCAACTTTAAATCCGGGTCTGTTTTCCAAAGATGTTCTAATTTGGTTCTCATTTCCATTTTCCCACCTCAGTTTCATTAGTTTTTCTCTATTTTTAATGATGTCTGCAGCCTGGGTCTTTCCAATTTTAAAGTTTTTCAGGTATTTTTCGGACGCAGCATTTTTAAAGTTTGGACTCTAAAACTTCGTTTTTTTCTTTCAAAATTAAAACTTTATGAGGTATTATCGAAGGAAAAGAGATTTGCTCAAGAATTGGGATCTTTTATAAGTTTTATTTCAAATACTCTTTCAAAATAAATTTCAGATTTAGCTACAGAGAAATGAAAATGTTTTTCCTAATTGCACAGATATTAGAGTTAATCATATGATACTGAATAGATTTTTGCATCTGATACTGAATAGATTTTGCGTTAAAGAACAGGAGATTTTGCAAGTCTCCTGTTCTTTAACGAAGACTCCTGTATTTTTTTACTTTCTTCTGTTTATCCATATATTCTCAAATTTATCTGTATTTGTTGAAGAAATCAAAAAAACAAAGCAATTTTTGGCGATAAAATATCAGTTATGATGACAAAAATACTTCTCTTATTCCTCAATAGATGGTGCTATTACCAGTACTACAGTAAGTTGAGTGTTTATAGTTTAAGTAATTATAAATAATATTTTAAAACAGTTTTCTTTAGATTAAGATTTATATACATATTTTTTACTTCACTAAATGTAAGTGCTTATATTATTTCCAATTTCGAAATTCTCTTTTTGACTTACATGATTATGCATGATGTATCAAGTGTGTGCGTACATGATTATGCATGATGTATCAAGTGTGTGCGTATGCATGGTGTATCTCCCTTATTTTATTTCTCCCATGTTGGCAGGTATGCGCTTGTATTTTCACATGTTTGCACTTTTATTTCTGTATGTTTACTCCCTATAACAATTCCCCAACGTTTGATAGGAAATAAGACAATACCTTCTTGAAAGCAAATCACCCATAATGCATAGAAAAAAGGAACATGATAATATAAATATACTTATTAGACTCTTGGCCCTATGGAGTTGTGGTATTCACAATTGATCATTTGTCAAGAGTCTGAATGAAAGTTTGATTTATATGAACACCTACACCTTTAGATTTTTATTCTCTTTTTTAACATAGCTTTAACTACAGGATTCAAAGTGATTAAAAGTAGAAAAGAAATTTCAGTGGGGCAGGGGATTGAGATACTTTAATGCATCATTATAACTTGTGGGATTTTAAGACTAAACATGTGGGGTCTGATAAATCAATTGTTGGGACAACTGTGCCATCCAGATAAAAAAGCAAAATATGCCAATGTCCAAAAATATTTCACCTGAACAGTATTATTTTCTCTGCTTTCTTGGCAAAGATAAAGAAAGATGACAAGAGAATGATGATACCTTAGTACTGAAATAGCTTAACAATATTTCAAAAAATTTATATGCTTTAAAATATGGTGGAAAAATGAATTTTTTTAAACTTGAAATAATTTTTTTTAATAATTTAGAAGGTAACATATTTAACTGACTGAAAGGTAATATTTTGCGTGGAGTCTATGACTGATATTTCTTAATTTTTTTTTGTAGGTGAAAATTTGGTATATTCCTGATGATGGCTTGAAAAAGTCTAATATGAATAAACCGATTATGGATTTGACTGGTCATAAGCGGAGAGTTGGATACATTGTGTGGCATCCAACTGCCGAGAACATACTGTTCAGTGTTGGCTTTGATTATTCCGTGAGATTTGAATTTATATTTTATTTAATAATATTCAATAAATTTAATTTGATATTTGTATTTTATTTGGTTATTGATATTGGTATCAGCCTTTACCAATTTTTGAAAAAAAAATTTATTATTGCAAATAATTGAATAATAATAATATAATAGTAATATAACAATAATAATAATAGTATAATTACATATTAGTAATAATATATTAATAATAATGTATAATGTAATGATTACTTATAATATAACAATATAATTTAATAATACTAATAAAATAACTTTCATTCTGAGTAAATATAGTTTTTTCTGTTGAACTGACAGTTGATAATTTTCAATGAAATTTTAAAGCTTAAAACTTTACAATCGATGTAAATTTTCTATAATTTTTTTAAGATCATTTTTCTGGTTCATTTGTAGAACATAAACTGTTTGTATTTAAATTCAAATATGTCATTTTTTAGTGTATTCATTCGTTTATTTTTTATGCTCTCTTACCCGTTATTGATTTAAAAATTTTCTAAAAAATTTGACTACATAAATTTTTTTCTTTAGATTTTAGTCTGGAATATTGGTGAAAACACTCTCGTAAACAGCATATGCTGTCATCCGGACACCATTTATTCACTCTCTTTCAATCGAGAAGGAAGTTTAATTGCTACCACTTGCAAAGATAAGAAACTTCGTGTCATTGACGCTCGAAGTGGTGCAGTCATTAAGGTAATGTTCTTCACTTTTGTCAAATATTTTGTTTATGAGCATCAAATTTCAATGCCAGTTGAGAGTTAAAAGAAAAGAAAATGCGAAAACTATTAATTTTCAATTCTAAATCATAATCCTCTGAACCAGAAGCCTCAAGTGCAATATCATTTTTTTTTTAAAAATTCCAAATTTTTTAAAAATTGTTTTCCAATGACCACCTGTGCTCACATTTCGTCAATTCAGGCATTTACAGCTCAGATTTGTTGGCTACTCATTTAGGGGCACCATATTAGGTGGGCCAATGTAGCTCCCACAGTAAGGATAGATAGTACAGAGAATGAAAGAACATTCATTCCTTGCCCGGGGTTCAAACCCAGAACCTTTCTGATGCAAGGTCTGTTCCCTGACCCCTACACAGTCCGGTCGGCAAGCACAATATTTATCCCGTATCCATTGGGTAAACAACTCAAAGCAAGTGATTTCAATTAATAAATCTGCCTTCAATTTTTGCAGAACAATTCTTCTATTTATTTTGTCTTGTGGAGATCATCCACCTTCAGATGAGATGCAGAAAGTGTTAGAATGAAGTTCAGGCTAAATATTTAGCCTAAGTCTTTACCTTTCATTTTTTTTTCTTACATCAGCATTTCTTTTGTTATGATCACATTTTGTAAATAGTGTAAATCAGTGATCGCATGAAGCTTCTGAGCTATCACACTATTTTTAAGTCCTACTGTAAGCTACCTACCTATTTTTTTTTTTTAAAAAAAGGATCTCATATTTAGTTTTTTACTCAATGGAAGAGTCAAGGTCATTTAACTGAAGCGTTGGTAAGATCTACGAAAAATATTCCCACAAGCTACTAGTAGCTTGCAATCAAGGGTTTGGCAATCTCTGGTGCTATTGCTTAAAGAATTAAAATACTTTAAGAAATTCTAAAAGAATTCTAATTCTAAAAGAATCTTAAAGAAAGCAAATTCTTAAAGAAAACATGAATAAAATACAAATGATAAAAAAAAACATGAATAAAACACAAATGACAGTACAAAAAATTGGCATACTGGTTTTAGTTCTATATAAACAAGTACCTTCCTCTATGTCTAAACGTCAAAATAATGTGTTTAGTATACCGATTTTTTGTAGTACTTTCATTTGTGCTTAACTCACAATTTTTGCTTTAGTCTACATAGCACAAAGTATTACCTTTTCCTTTGTTAGATAAGCTATTGCTTATTTGTATGAAAGAAAAAAAGTCCCTTCCCTTAATTATAATTTTTTTTTTTAAATTTTCAAAGAATCTGAATCATGATACACATTGTCCAATAGTAAACATTGTGATGTTTATTGCACATCACAATGTGTACTATCATATAATAACAGCATAATTCCAAACTTGGGTATTTATTTTAAAAAGGTAAATGCCTTTTATCCAATTATTTTTGTGTATTATTGCAATCATTAAAAGAGAAAACATTCAAACTTTGATTTTTCAAAAGTTTACTAACTTTTTTGAAACTGAAAACCTTTTAATGTATCTAAATACCAAACTTTCTGTAACATATTTTTTGTCAGTAACATATTTTCTTTTACTTATTTTTTGAAAATGGGTAATGCATGTCTATTTTAAGGAAAAGTTAATGACAATGATATATATATATACACACCCATATATATGTTAGGTTCACATAAGTTTAATTTGAACACAGTGGAGAAAAGTTTAACATTTATATAAAAAAGGTGGTGGCAGATTAGATACAGAAATAAAACGCTTTGCTTTAAAGTATTTGTCGCTGTTTATTATTGTTTATTAAAATATCTTCTCGCTTCTTAATTATAACTCATTTGAATTAAATTCTTTGTCTTGCAATCTTACCTTATACAGTTGTGGCCAAAAGTGGGGACATTTTTTGAAAGTTTCATGTTTTTCAACTTTGTGTGCTTGTAGAATATATTAATTTTCACTTAAATACAAACGTTTATATATCAAATTGAAGGTAATTTAATGTAGAATTTAGTAATAAATATAGTCTTACAATATCTGTATTACAAAAAAAGTTATGCAACTAATAGTAAGATCTATCTCAGATTTGCATTTTTTAAAGCGATACATACACAATCAATACTTGGTAGGATAACCCTTATTTTTTAAGACAGCTTCACAGCGTCATTTCATCGAGTGAATGAGTGTTTGGAGGTCATGTTTCGTAATCACATGGTGCCAAGAATCAATTATAGCTTCAATAAGTTATCTTTTATTGGATGGACGTTTTTTTTCGTACAAGAATTTTCAAACATCGCCACAAATTTTCAATTGGATTGCGATCAGAAATGTTTCCTGGTCATAGTAATATATCTATGCCTTTATTTTGAAACCATGCTTTGCTTACTTTTGCTGTGTGGCATGGAGCTGAATCCTGCTGNTTTGTGCATTGTATGTAGTGCGTCGTTCATCGATCGTAGTTGTAGAACTAGGTATCTGAGGCCTAAATGGCCCTTATGTAGTACGTCGTATTGCCTATGTCTACTAACTATAAATTTATCTTGAAAATATAAATGGTGCCCGCCATTCAACCAATATTCTGGTACTTGCTCTTAGGTACAAAAAGGTTGGGGACCCCTGCAATAGACTAATAAATTCTATCAATTAAATTTCCTTTTTTTTCTTCCTCATTAGAAATTTAAAATTATTTTGGTCCAAATTAAAAAGTAATATTATATCTTAATGAAAACATATGATATGGTAACAATACGCCAGGACTTTTATTTATCTTCTTTTTGTCAGCTTCACTAAATCTTATTCTTAAAGTCTTGACAAATTGGATTGGTTGAACTTCATCTATTTGTGTAATTAAATTTGCACTATTGCTGAATCTAAATCTGCTCGAATTTGCTTCTCCCACCCTAACCTATTGTCACGCTGGCCAAAGTTAAATCCAGATTATTTTTTTAAAAAAGAAAGAAATTACAGTGCTAAAACAAAAAGTATGTAACGGTGAAGTGAAAAATAGAGATATGAATGGTTTCAGGATGTTCAGTAATAGTTGTAAAAAAATATACAAGGTTAGCTGTTATTTTTGTTTTGTTTGGTAAAAAAAAACCTAAAATAAAGAGAGAAAAAAATTTTGAAAAAATAATCAAATTATTGATTTAATATGTAGGCTATTATCAAGGAAAGGTAAATTTTGGTGTCAGTGAGCTATAAATTTATAAAATTTTGGTAAATATTAGATAGTATTATTTGGTCAAAGTATTACTAGATAGTATTATTTGGTCAAAAATTAAGTTCAGTTTTGAAATTTTTTTAGAGTGGCACCCTTGATTATGATATTAACTTTTGCTCTGTATATTTTCAATTAACCAGTATTAGGTTTAACCAAACAATTGTCTTCCTTGAGCTAGTGTAGACATATGGTGATATGGGTTGTGTGGTCAAGTCCACACTGACTCCATTCAACTTTCAATGGAATAATTGGTTAAATATATAACTTATTTGATGCTATGCATTTCCTAAATCAAAATGATTTTGTTGAATTGCTTAGCCTTAACAATTAATGATTTCAATATTTAGTAAACAATTTAGCACAAAACTTTTATATTAATTTACCCCTTAAAGGTTTTAAGAAAATTTAAAGATTTTTTTATCAAGTTTGATAAAAGAATACAATTCAATATAGACAAATTAAAGAAGAATTTTTGTCATACATTAAATTAAAGCAGCAAATGGTACCGTCTTCTCTTTCGCCAGTTGTTTTCATTACCCCAGTTAGGGAAATATCACTAAACCATGCCCTCCTTTTGTTATCCATTTCATCCATAAGTTATAATTATGATTATTAAGACTGATTTAACTTTAAATTGATTCCATGCTATCAAATAAATCAAATTGAATAGTAATTTGTAATGTATTGATTTTGTTTAAAACGTCTTTCTTAGTATACTGAAATGCTCTATTACATTAAAATATGCCGATATTTATTCTCGAATAAGGCTTAGATTGCAATTGATCTCATTTTGACTTTATATACCTTTCTGAGTTATAATAAATGATTACTTAATAAATTATCAAATTTGTCACTAGCACCTTAGTTCACCCACATTAACCCCTTGTAGTAGGACTAGTGAGGATAAAAACAGCCTTTTTATGTAATAAAAAAAAATATATTACCTTAAAATTAAGCAACTTTGTAATTCCAGATATAAACAGGTAATTGTTCGAATTATTGTTGACAAAAATATTTGACGAATTTTAAATTATGTTTAATAAGATTTTTTGACGAATTTATAAAAAAATGTAGGTCCAATCTCTCCAAAACGAACCACCAGAAGGGAAGTAGTGTATGTTACATGTGGCCTAACCCTCAGCTTTACCCTCCCATAAAATATTTCACCTTAAAAAGTTTATTAATAATGTTTTAGTTGTAAAGTAAAAAATATGTTGTTTTTTTTCCAGCACAATTTGGACACTCCACTGAGAATTGAGAACATTGATTCTTCTTCTGGTGTTCTCTTCCCTTTCTATGATCATGATACTAAAATGGTGTATGTTGCTGGAAAGGTAAAATATTCTTTTATTTCTCTTTCTTTCTTTAAAGGCCCAAACAAAATAATGCTCTTTAATGAATAATTGTTAGTAATCATTCACTTATGTGAATAAAAGTTAGCAGAGATAAATATTGCTTACCTTTGTCTTGTGCATATTCACTTGTGTTGTCTTCACTTTATATTCTTCAATAGTGCAGGAATATGTAGTGTAACTTACTCAATGAATTAAGGCATTTTGAATTTGGTAAAAAGTTAAGATTATCTTTTAAAATAAGAGCTTATTGTTAAATAAACATATTTAGTAAATATAAGTGGTTTATCAAGATGGAGGATAGGTGAGTAGGGAAATGAAACTTTTTAAAAGTTATACATTACATAATCAAACAGCGCCATTCAGAGACTAAAATAATAAACAGTGAATCATTGAATTGGAAGATTAGTGATAAAATATCTATTTTATAAGAATAATATGCTATTTTATCACTATGAAGAGTTGGGAACAACTCAGGGTTCTACTGATATTTTTGATTTTCCTGATCAAAAATATTTTGTCATGATTTTTATCTTTTTGTCATGATATTCCTAATTTTTGTGTATGTTCAGAGCATTCCATTTACTGCAAATACAAACCATGTATGTAATTACTTAGCTGTCCATAAGTTTGAATTTTTCATTATTTTGGGAGTGGTTCATTAATTTTGAAAAATTGAGAGTTTTTTATTTTCAATCCAACATTGCTTATTTTATGTAATTGTGCTTTTAAAAATCATGATATTCGATGGTTCAAATTTATGAACCGCTCACTTATATACATGATTCAACCATATTACACTACCTGCAGGATTCTTTGTTTCAAATTATTTAGGAATGCAGTCATTTTAAGAAAAAGATACTCGATAAATCTTTTGTATTATCAAATTTTTATGGTGAAGAATTCAAGGTTCATTCACTTATTTATGCAAATGCAATAAAAAGTATTAAAGGGTTTATTTTTGTAGTATTAAAAGTCATATTGATTTCTCTCTTTCATCTGATTTTGAAAAAGATAGATTCTAACCATGTCATAACATTTTCAAATTGAAAATTGAGGTATCATCCACTAAATTACTTTTGTACAAAAGTATTAAAAAACACATTCACTGTGCTTTTGTTCCAAGATTATTGAAACCTTACTTTAAACTTATTTGATTAAGGAAGTCTTGAACTCGATTACAAATTTTAATTAAATATTGGTGTGAGGAAATGTTAACTGATTTTTTTTTTCAATGTAACAGCACTGTAAAAATGTTCTATGTATTGATCTCTAATTATTATGAATTGTTCAGTACTCCATAAATAGAATTATACTGGATACTGTTAAAACTGTCTGACTAAACAAAGAAGTTTTGAAACTAAAAATAGTATATTTTGTTATTCTTTTAGTATATTTTGTAATAATTTATGGACTGTGCCTAATATTTGTCTTATACACATATATTGAACCATTGAAAAAGCTTCATTAATTATCAATTATAAATTGAAAATATTTAATTTCTGAAAAGCGTTTAATTAAAATGATATAATTAAATATGTTTTTATTTTAGAAGTAGGAATTTATTTATGATATGTAAAATTATTTTGTTAAAATGATTTTTGCAAGCAACTGTGCTTAAAATACTGTTCTGTTCAGAATATTTTCATGAACTTTAAAGCCTGCTACAATTCTTAAAGACCTGGAATATTTTTTTAAAAACATTCCTTTTTATTGAGAAGCTTCTCCAACTTCCTGTTAATAACCATTTTTTTATTTTAAAATTTCTTTGTTTTAAAAGCATACATTTTGTTTGCTTTTCTTTCTTTTTTCAATTTTTTTTAAAAATTTATTTTTTTCTTATAGGCTAACTTTAAATTACTAAAAATTGCATTTCATAAATTAATTAACAAGATTTTTAAAATTGAAAGAATATTGAGTGTCACAAATATTGTCACAGTATTTAAATTATTTATATTATAAGTATTTAAAAGATAGCTAATTTCTTGAAGTTAAAAAAAGGAGTATAAAGGCATTTAACATTAATTTTAAAATTCTTTTTTTTTAAAAAGAAGGAAAGTTTGGCTCTTTATAATAATAATAATGCATTGTAATATTATTGCAATATAATGTCAATTTAAATTAAGTCTGTTTGGAACAACAACAAAAAAGTTTAAGAATATTAATAACACATTATGAAAAGAAAGCTTATTATAGCTTTGTATGGATTTGATTTGACATAAGTGCAACAAAACATTAATAATTTTTATTCATAACATTGAATTTTATGTGTTTACATAAATTTGTAACAAATAAAGTTGAAACTGATTTTTTTTACAATTAAGTAAAGTCGTTCTTTTTAATTACTTTAGGGTGACGGAAACATACGTTACTATGAAATAGTTAACGAGCCACCGTGGTGCCATTATTTGAGTCAATTTTTGACTGGCTTCCCTCAGCGGGGCCTAGGAATTATGCCCAAAAGAGGTCTGGACGTTTTGCGTTGTGAAGTATTTCGTTTCTATAAACTGCATGCTGTCAAGCCACTCTGTGAAACTATTTCTATGATTGTGCCGAGAAAAGTAAGTTGTTAATAAGTAAATTTATTTATTTCCATTTATGATGCAATTTCCTTATATAATTTATATAAAAAATATATCATATTTAAAATTATAAGAAACTTAAAAATCTAATAACTTTTGACCAAATACTTGGATATTATACTTTACAACGAGGGAGTTATTATTGGGAACTTAACTAATTGAAAAGAATTCTTTCTTGAAGAAAATGAAAAACTTGAATTCTGGGAAGAAGTTTTTTGATCCTTTAAAAAGTTTTATCTGTTATCTTTACTGTCCATTAAAACCAATATGTTTGTACTAATTTCCAGTAACCAGGATATTATTTGGGAAGGGTTGATATATTAACAATATGTTCCTTTCCATAACTTCATAATTTTTTTTATCTCCCTTACTAGTACCTATTATGATTTGGGCTAAAAATATGTAAATGAAAATAAATAGAAAAATGTATTAACAAAATACATTTTCTTCCATTTTTGGAGCAGAAAATTCATTAATCTAAAAATAGACTCATACTAAAAAATATGTATGTGGTGTACAGAGTATAGATTACTGCATATTATAAAATCACTGAAACTTCGAGTGCTTCTTCCTCTTAACTTGTGTAACTAAAAAATGTGTTTGGGGTTACTGAGGTGTTATCTTAGGGTAGCTTAGGCAGAGTAACCCAGATCAAAGGGGAGATACTGTACAAAGAGGAATACTGACTTTGATTGGGGGTTTAGCACAAGGTTAATCACTTTGCCAAAACAAATTTCCCTAACTACTTAGTAGGGGAAACAGTGAAAAGAAACAAAAGTTACCCACAAGATAACCGGATCTAAAACAGATGGAGGTCCATAATGTTGGATTAATGCCAGGTGTAGAAAATGAAAGACTTGACTTACAAGAGGCTGTAGTGCTTAGAAGGTAGAAGTAGTGAAATACCTCTAGTAAAATAGCATGTTAAGTACTAGGAACTTGAAGGATACTTTTGTTTCTTAAAAGAAAGCATTTAAAACTTTTAAAAATGCCGATGAGACTGTGTAAGGGTCAAGGAACTGGCTTCGCATTAGAAAGGTTCTGGATTCGAATCCTGGGCAAGGCATGGATGTTCGTTCATTCTTTGTACTATATGTCCTTACATTGTGGGAGCAATGTTGGCCCACATAATATGGTGCCCTTGAAAAGAGTGGTCAACAAATCTGCCTTGTAAATGCTTGAATTGACGAAATTTTTATACAGGTGGGCATTGGGGAAGGAGAAAAAAGATTTAAAAATTTTTACTTACAAAAATGTTAAGATTTCCTTTTTTTTTCACATGAAAAAACTTTGGTATTTTTACCTTTTTTGTTCATGTGGGAAAGGATAAAAAAATTCAACACAAAGGAATAGAATATTAATATGATATTGTAATCACCATATTTACAACTAAATTTGTAATTATACCCATGAAAATTCTCCTAAGACACAGGGGATTTCTACTTTGGAACAGAGAATACCCTTTTTGATTGGGTAAATTACTTAGTCCAGTGTTTTATCTTCCGTCTGTCAATGTATTCGTGTCATGATGTCTTATTGTAATTGTCTTGATGATAATAATGAAACTCTTATGTTTTATTCTCCACTTTTTATTCACTAAGTAACAAAAATACAGTAGAGCACCGATTATCCGAACCCTTATTATCCGAACGTCCAATTATATGAACTATGTCCGAATTCTTTTTAAAGTTTAGAATATTTTAACTTCGCGACATTTTTTCTTAATTTAGAAGAATAAATAATACCAACTACATCTGAGGACCATATTTAATTTACAACTTTTTTTTAACAGTTTTCTGATCGTAGCCATGCATACATGTATTTTTATACAGTTAAACCTACATACCCCTTTAGCCCTCTTCAACTGAAAATTAACTTCCAAAAATGCGAGCTTCATTTTGACCGTCTACAATTTTTGGATTGCGGAAGGAGTTTATGAATAAACAGGTGCTGAAGTTCTACAATTGAGAGATAGGTAGTCGTCACTTATGATTAATGATTAGTGATTACCGTGCTTAGAATCTTAAATCTTGGAATAAAATTCTTAACAGTAAAACAAACGAAACTGAAGTTTCTGAACCAGTAGATCTTCCGGATGAAAAGATGCCAGGTTATACAGCAGAAGAAATAGAAGACTAGTGTCAAGACACTGAAAACGACACAGGATTTCAAACTTTAAATGATGATGAAATTGTTGCTAAAATTTTGAATGAAAATCCACTGGTGAAGAGGAAGAAGTAGGTGATCAAGTTCAAGATAGTGGACCTTCTCATATAGAAGTATGCAATTCATTAGATATTGCAATGAATTGGCTAGAATATCAATATGATGCTGATCCGGTTCAGTTGATTTATTTGAAAGGAATAAGGGATATATGACGGCTAAAAAAAGAGCATCTTCTTTGAAACAAATGTCTTTGCTGGATTTCTTTTGCAATGGAAAATAAAGAAAAGTATGGTAAAATCAGTAATTGTCAAGAAAATTATAAAAAGCTGAAATATGAAAATTCAAAATGAAAAATAAAATTAAATAAATAAATGAAAAATATTTAAAAATTAAAAAAAAAAAACTTTTAAACATGCCAAAGCTATTTTAGATAGTACTGCCAGTCAAGTGCCTAGAAAAAGTGTGAAGGAAAGTTAGTGCAAAAATAATAATCATTTAAACCGGATTTTAAACAACTTTCCAATTATCTGAACTTTTCATTATCCGAACCACATTCGGTCCTGAGCAGTTCAGATAATCGGCTCTCTACTGTATATTGTAACTGGTTTGATATATTTTTATCATATTTACTTATTTATTATATTACTTTTAATTAGTCTGAACAATTTCAAGAAGATTTGTTTCCTGACACTGCTGCACCTACCCCATCACTTACAGCTAGAGAATGGCTGAATGGAAAAAACAGAAATCCTATTCTGATATCTATGAAGGTAAAGTAGTAGGTTTTGTATGTTTAGTAGTAACACTAGATTAAAAAAAAAAAATTTTAAAGCATAGCTGCCAGCTTTCATGAAAAAATTGGAGGATTCCCAACTTTTGGGGAAATCTTCCATGCTTGTAGAAATTATTCAAATCTTACAAATTTTTGAATTTTTTTTCTTTAAAATGTCAAACATTTTGGCAATTAATTTTTTTTAATATTACTACAAATACTGCGCTACATTTTCATTCACTTGAGGTTTAGTAAAAGCCTTAATCCTGGTTTTTTGTTCAATCAAGCATTGGGATAAATTTTTGAAGCAACATATTTAAAATAGTTTATTAGTGTGAGTAACTTTTATTTTTTGTTTCTTCTATCTTGAGAAAATTGTCTCTGTGTATGTAGTGAATGCACCTCTTTATAAAATCTTAGTACTGCTAGAATTTTAATATTATCAGAATTTTAAACTCATTATTGGTTTACCTTTAAATAAGAAGGAAATGCCCCTAGCTACTACTCCAAAATGTTTCCTTTTATGTCATATATTTAACCGTATGAAAAATCTCCTTTTTTGATACTGTAAAAAAAAAACATGATTGTTAAGTTAATCATTCTCTTTTTCTCCCTTGCACCACAAATCAAGGCCCACAAATTTTCATTTCAATTATTGAAACCATAAAATGTTAATGAAAAACTTAGAAATTATTTTATTTTGTTTTTAAATTGAATTGTATTTTATGTTTTGAAATATTATAGACTGGGGCTGGAGCCAGAACCAATAAACCAGTGGTTTATAACCCAGATCGTCAGTACTTAATAACTGCAGACAGAAACAATGAGAGGAAGTTTATATTCATTTCGGAAGATAACAAAGTTGATTACCGAGATCTGAAGAAAAAGGGCAACGAAGATGCTCATCCTAACAAGTAAAAAAAAAATTATCCTAAAAATATTCTGTTCTAATTTATATTTCCTGTTATTCCTAAACAGTTTCTTATAATGTATGTGCTTACTTCATGGACTTTTCATTTTGCTGTTACTAACATAGTTTATCCATTATTACATTGTCCATTAATATCATTAAATACAACTCTTTATACTATAGACTTTTTTTGGGGCTGTTATTTTCTGATAGCTTGAGTTTTCATTCATTACAAAGTAATGTAAATGAAATGAATTTTTATAATCAGAGTTAATTAAAGTTACATAAAAATTTTCTTTTGAAATATTTAAAAAAATATTATTATTTTGAGGAAAATTATATAAAGATAGTTTTTTTTTTTTTTTTTTNTTTTTTTTTTTTTTTTTTTTTTTTTTTTTTTTTTTTTTTTAAATAGTGTAATGCTAAAATACTTTTGGGATTAAGATTGATTTATTGAAGGAAATTCATTTAGCTTATTACCAAAAACTAATTTGATTTCATTGTTTGAATTATATTATTTTAATATTATTTATTTTTCATAATTTTATTAATTTGATTAAATTTCTTTGCTGGAAAGGTGGGTTTTCAGAGTTTTACTTAATGTAAAGAATTGGTCATAAACTTCAACTTTTTTGAGTATAAATAACTAAATTCATAAATTCTTCGTTTATCTCTACAAATAAATTTGATGAGAAATGATCAAATGAATAAACACATAACACACAAGGGAAAATAGCTCCCCAGTGTTGGGCTCTTTTTTTTACCTTATGCTAACCTTTACTGTTACCCACATTTATGTGAACAAAGCTTGTCATTTGTATTTTTTTTATTTTATTTATTATTATTATTTTTTCTTTTCTTGTATTTTTTTGAAGTTTTTAGCAGATGGTTTTACAAATCTCAAATGGGAAAATAGCTTCTCATCAGCATTTAAAAGTAAATGAATTTGATTTGAAATATATATATTTCTTTAGTGTGTGATAGATTTACCTATATGTAGAAAAATTATTCTTTCCTAAAGTGGAAGGCAATTTGGCTGATAATTTCTTACACACATTTATTTTATAAGCATAAAGGTTAAGGCTTTAGGAACTAAATAAGGTTAATTGATGTTCATTTTTCACTTCTTTTTATTGAGGAAACTATATCGCAATAATTGAATGCTAGACATTTTTAACTTGTTATAAACATATAATTTTTGTACTTTTGATATCACTATTTTGGGGATGACTTTAAAATTGCTGTAATAGCAGACTTCTCACAGTATGCCATACTCATTAAAGCTTCACCTGTATTCATATTTCCTTATCTTAAACAAAAAAGATTGTGTCTGATTTGGTATTCTCTCAAAGTTTTTAAAATATCTGCTACAAAGCAAAATTTTACATAATTTAAATGTTTTGCTTTTTTCAAAAGTAATTGAATATATCCCATTATACATATACATTATAAAAACTGAATTAATACTTATAGTGATTCAAATAATTTGAGTACAAAATAATGATTCCTGCATGAGATATGCCAATATTTCTAAAGTAACTTAAGTATCTAATATTTCAAAAAAATTTTTGTTTCATTTTGCATAAATATTGTTTTTTAATATAATAGAAATCTTCAATGTTGCTTTTATGTTTTTTCTTTAATTATTATATTTTATTATAATATATTTTATGTATATTTGATAAATTATTTAACCTAATCCAATTTAAATAATTACCATTTTATAAGAATTTAGTTTTAAAACTGATGTTGATTTACTACCATTGCATTTTTATCAATTTCAGTTATGGTTTTAGTATTTTGTTTGCGAAATAAGTTTTCTATAAAGAATGCAGTAATCACAATATTTCAAATTTCTGTGCATGAAACTTATATTTAACATTTCAATAAAATATAGAAATTACCTAAATTTTAACATAGTATTTAAAAAATGTATAGATGTCAAATTCAAAAATGTTTAAAAAAAGAGTTTTTGTGAGTGAAAATATTTCTTAAAATAACATAAATCAAAGATTTGTTTACAAATATGAGATATAAATAAATTTTATTGTGAAAAAATAGTAAGCAAGAAAATGTGTGGATAACTTGCTGTTATTTTATTTTATTATAGGAAAAAACATTTTATGCTGTTTTATTTTTCACTTTCCAAGCACTGATATTGAATATCAGTGTACCATATTAAAAAAATATACACTTTGTTTATGTTATGGAATTTACTCAAAAGTTTGCAAAATATCTGCTATAAAGCAAGATTTAAATTATGCTATAAAGCAAAATAATGTGATATATCACATATAGTCTGTTGTACTTTAGCCTTTTTAAGATAAATTGTTATTGATATCATTACAGCCAAAACACTTAATTGATTACTATTGACTGACATCAGCATATACTTAATTCAGCTGACCAAGAGCCTAAATGCTTTTTCAGTTCACTCATCTCTAATCAGTGATTTAAAATAATTAACTCCTTTTTTTTAAATTATAATGTTTTTCTGCAGTGCTTCATCATGGCAGGAAGTGTCTCCAAGGCAGCTTGAACCTAAGATAATCTCTCATACTCTTCCTGTTGCCAGTTTTGTCACCATCGAAGATGACAGCTCTAGTGAACAAGATGATAGCAGCTGCAGCGAATTTTCTAAAGACTCTGACGTATGTATTGTATTTCATATAATTTTATTTATTCCATAGATTTATTGAACGAAATGCATATGGCTTATTACATGGTGCATAGCATTTTTAAAAAGTGCTTAAAGGTGCTTTTTTCATTGGGTGTTTTTAAAAAGTGAATAATTTTCCCTTTTTGAAAATGAGAATTATTTCTTTACCATGTCCATTTTTGCCACATATTACGCAAAAGCGTGCTTTTCACATTGTTCAACGTTTTCACAATTCATTCGACCACAATCTTTTTCGGCTTACCATCGGTTCATAATGCATGAAAGTGACAATCATTTTACATGTTTGATGAAATACTTGCGAGTCTGCATGTGCGTCTTCTGAGCTGAGATCTGTGAGATTATTGCACTCTTATGAGTAACTCTGCTGCATTTTGCAAGATATTCTCAATTTCAGGCTCCATTTTCCACCCTCTGATATCGAACCAAAAAATCCCTTGATCATTTTATAATGGCTAATATAATCAAGAAAAGAGTTCTTTGTCAGACACTAGTTATTTTATTATGATCATGTAAAGTCTGAAACTTATTTTTCATTTTATTAAAGTATATAATGCTTAAAAAGTACTTAAAAGGTGCTTATTTTTTGTTGAAAGGTTTGACTACGCATCCTGTATTACCTAAAATTAATTTGATCATATTAATTAAATTCTATTATTTTAATATAATTTATGTTTTGTAAAGTATGTTAAATTTCTTTGGTGGAAAGGTGGGTGGGATTTTCAGAGTTTTACTTAATGTAAAGAAATTCCATATGATATAATAATGCCTTTATATCCTGAATAATTTTTTATCTGATGCTAGGTCTTTATTGTAATGATTCAAGGCCATAGATATGATAATCAATTAGCGGAAACAATATTTTAAGTTACGCAAAACATACTTAAAATAATGTACTTTAAGTATGAAAGATAAAGTGTACTTTCTCTGAATAAACAAACTCTTTTTTTAATTCTCTTTTTTTTTTTTTTACTGATTTTAATTCTTGGCACTCAAAATATAGAAGGTACCTGCATTCTGAACTATCTTGCTTAAACTTGGGTCGCAATAGTTTGAGCAGGGGAGCAGTCAAAAGTTCGGACCTCTTATTTTACTTTTTGTGTATTTCATTTTATATATCAAGATTGTTTTGAGTGAATTATAAAGTTTCTGCGTACAAATATAAAATACATTTATCCAAAGTAAATTCTGCAATTTTTTTAATAATTTATTATTTTATTTATTAATTGCAACAACAACAAAAAAAAGAATTGTAAGGTTCACAAATTTTTACTTAATTTCAAAGAATGTAATTTTAAATTGCAAATTAAGAAATTTGGATGAAATTAATTGAACAGTTTTTGAGTTATTAAAATTTAGGAAGGTCATATTCATCAAATTTAATTTATTCTGCCTGTTTAAAAATAGAGCTAAATGGGTGTTATTAACATTATAAAAATAGCATTTGCGATAAGACAATCAAAAAAATACAGTGCACATATTAAAGCAAGAGATGCAGAAGCAATGAAAGGAGGTTTGTTTGCATTATAGTAAAAACAATTTGTTATTGTGCTTGTAATCGATATTTTTTTATTGTCAAAATGAGGCAAAAATCCATGTGCCTGATTAGACTTTTAACCGTGACTATTTATAAAAGATCCACTTTTTATCTATAAACTACAAATGCCTGTAGTTCATAGATAAAAGTCCTATCTTTTATAAATAGAAATATTAAATTAACTTAGAATGAATGATTTAGAATTTCTTCTTTTTTCAGTTGCCTGAGACTTGCAAGAAATTAACTTCTCTTGTCAAAGAACTGCAAAATAAATTGCAAATAAAAGATGAACGAATCAAGGAGCTCGAAGAAAAACTTAGCCTTCTGCAGAATAATTTCTGCAATGACAATTGAATACTCATATCTTGTTATGTTATTTTGTATATAAGTTGATTTGACACTTTTTGTGTATATTTAGTTTTAATTCTTTTTATCCAAGTGATATTTACTCTATTAGCATTTTTATTCTCTTGAATTTTATTATTTTTATCATTATTTTTTTTCTTTTTTTTTNTTTTTTTTTTTTTTTTTTTTTTTTTTTTTTTTTTTTTTTTTTTTTTTTTTTTGAAAGAGAAATCTGAGTACTGTCTTCTTGTTTTTCTTTAGATTTCTCATTTTTATAAAGAAGCTCTATTCTTGTATCTTTTTTAGAAACCTCAAGCGCATAAAAATGCTTTGGAGCCTTTTTGTAGTAAACTTTTTAGCTTTAAAAATGTTGAAGATTCAGCAACTTAGTTTATGTAAATTGCTAGCTATGAGCATGTAGTCAATTGTTACTGAAAACATAACTCTGAAAATAGTTAGATGATTGAATGTCAAATACTGAATTTCTTACTCTGGAATTTCAAATCTATTTTTAAATTGCTTAATGTGTTAACTGATGTTTTCATAGACCAATAACATTGAAAGTCAATGTGCTAGATAGTTTAAAAATAAATATTTAATGCTTATTTTATTGCTCAAAGCTCATTATCTAAACATTTATAATATGAAAAAACACAAGCTTTATATTTTCAAAACATTAAAGGCCTCAATAAATGCTTGAATTGATTAAATCTAATTAAAATATCATGTTTGGATTTTTTGTTGCTGCCAATAAATTGTTTCAAAATGTAATTTTAAATTAGTTTTGTAGGAAAATAATAATTCTGCATTGGTAACAAATATTAGAGCACAAAGATATGAAATAAATTTATGAATAACTAAATAGTTTTATAGAGATATTCTATTATTATATCTTTATAATGTTACTGTACGTATCTTTAAGAAAACATGCCTGTAGCATAACAAAACTTGTAGTGCACTCAAAGGTAAATAATAAGTGTAACCATTTGCTCAGAGTAAGACTTAATTTAAAAGAAAAATTTAATAAAAAATTATTTGAAACCCTGAAGTTTTTTAGTAAAAGTTTCCTTTTTCTATAATTTATTTTGAGATTACATCAAATGCTTGTTTTAGTTGTGTCAGCTGTTTTCAGACTTAACTCCTAATAGTAGTAATAATGATGAATAAAAGAATTATTAGCAATTAGCTGGTGTTTTTAAAAAATTTTACTAATCACTCTTTGTGCTCATGAAACCCGAAATTAAAAAATTGATGTTGTAAACAACTAATAAAAAATATGGAACCTTGATGAAAAAACATGCTACCTATTTTTTTAGGTAACTGTGTTTTCTTACTTTATTTGCTCCAAATATTAGTACTTATAGCTGTTTCAGGATTTTTAGATAAAAATCAATAAATTAAGATTTAGCAAGTCGTTAATTTATGCTAAGTATTTTTGTCATTTTTTTGCCCATCATTGAAGCCATTTAAAAAAATTAAAACCATATATAAATGAAAGTTAATATTAAAAATATGAAGTTACCAAATGAAGAATTGTTATGCTTATAGAAATCACTCTTAAACTGTGTTCAACATAAAAGAATAAAAAATTTCTAAAGAGATTTTTATATCATTTAAAAAAAAAATTAAATTTGATATTTATAACTTTGAACAAAATTGCCACTCTATTAATTTGGGCAACAAAATATTCTATTGTTAGTTTTACAGTAAAAGTATTAAGCGAAGTTGTTTTTGAGGAAACAATTCTGTTGTAAAATGAATGTTGAAAATTGAATGTGAAAAATATGTCAGTTCAAATGTTTGATCTTATGTTTATAAAACTTGCATTGTTAGCTTATATTTATTTTTGTATTGTTTATTTTATTTTTGTTTCAAATATTACTTTGTCTGTTTTAAACACTGTTTCAAATTGTGAGGTATTTGCATTTCTTTTTCAAGTTTTCATTTGTCAACTACTCCTTTATTTAAAGTTTGAATTTGACATTCCAACAAGCAACCATTATGTAGTTAAGGGCCTACCAAATATATGAAATATACATATTTTATAATGCTATGTATATTTATAAATGTCTTATACAGCATTTTTTTTTCTTCTATGCATTTCCTTTTGTTTTAATTTATTAGAGTTACTTTTAGAAAAGTGGATTTTCTCAGTTCAACTAAATCTGCAAGCTTTTTGGGATGTTATTTTTTCGTTACATGTTATGACAAAAAAATAAAATAAAATGTTTCTTTTTTGTTTTTTTATTATGGGAATGGATCAAACAATTTATCTTTATTCCTTTACTGTATGTGTGTTCAAATACTTTTCAAAACAAAACCATGCTATTTCATTTTTTGTAATCATTATTTTTTTTTTTTTATCAATCTGCTCTTATCTGCATTATTTTCATAAATTGGCATGTCAATTCCATTCCTCTTTAAAATATTTATGCTAACTTGGTTTGACCCTAAATATTACGTTTTTAAATGTATAGTATATAGAAAAATATCTATGGTTTTTGCTTAATCAAATTGTAAAGTTAAATTTCATGTTTTAAATGCATAATCTCTTAAATTGTAAAATTTAAAGTTTTTTCCACCTGCATTCTATAACATAGATTTAAAATTGTAAATATGATATTATTTTTTGTATAGGAAGAATTGTTTCCCTTTTCCATACGTGCCAAAGCTTTGTGCCTGACAATACATGCGCATATTTTCTGGTACATATCTTGAGAATTCCTTTTTACACGCGCCTTTTCGAGTAAACAATAATAATAAATTTTTAAAAAATGCATTCTAGGGTTTTCAAATTCTCTCAGCAAATAAGTCGCATTTCTAGCTGTGAATGAGTTGTGTTTCAACATTTTATTTTATTTACTTTTCAGATTCATGCTTTTTTTTTCTTTCTAAATACATAATAGTAACATTAAAATGTATCCTAGAAAAATTTAAATTTTAAAAAGTTTCACCTCTCGTTAACTTCATTTGCAAACATTAAAGTGTCAACATTTGCAAATGTGAAAATAAGTATATTAAGTTTGAACTAAAAAAATTTTACTATGAAGGTTTTATTTTAAACTTAATTTTTGTGTTTTCGATCATAAAAAGGGAGCCATCTAAAGCCTAATACTAGTTTAAAAATTTATGGTTGAAAAATTATCTTAAAAGCTTCTGAGTTATTTCCATTAGCTCTGTAATATTTGATTAATTTTTTAAAAATTATTATTATTTTTGGAATTGATAATAGGTTTTTTTGCTTTATTATTTGATTACATTATTTTCTGATTTAATGTGTAGGGATTTAAAATTTATTCATGTCTTTTGCTTCTGTTGAGTGCATGCTGAAGTGCCTGAAAAAGTAGTTCAAATAAGAGTGCATTATTCTGAATAAATTTTTTTTTTTAATTTCTCGAAGAAAAATTTAAAATTTTTGTATTGCATTTACTTTTTCTTGTGGCAGACTATTTCTGATTCTTTTTTCAGATTGTGTGTAATGTTTTTGGAAACATAATTTGTAATCTCATTTAAACTATATTTATGCTTCCACTGTAATACCATTCAAACTGTGAAGAGTTAGACACAAATCTTATCTATAAGATTAAAGATATTTAAACTGAATTTGGAATTACATCAGTATTAAAAGACCTGTACCTACACCTGATTTATAATTATATATCTACTGAATGCACACAATCATTGAACGCAATTTTGAAGTTTTTTTTTCTAGTTGTATTCCATTAAAATATGTTAAATTTTTTAGTTTTAATAGAACTTTAAACTTCCACAAAATATTTTAAATCTTTGTGTAAATAAATAATATTTTATAAAATGTTTGCTAGTGAAGTTGATTCATTAGCATTGTTGATGATTTAGAAATGCACAATGTATTGTGGTTCTGATGGTAAGATAATTTTTTTCTATCCGTACAGAAAATTGTAATTGAATGACTTTTTAGGGGTAGAGGGGTGACAAAAGGCTGCTATGTTAATTCTATGGGAGCACTATTTTCTTGCACAACTGTAATCCTTTACAATTTTATGCCTCATGTTGAATAATTAAGAACCAGATTTAAGAACTCTTCGATAGATCTCTTTGGCGATTTTAAAACTCTTGAAAAAAATATTTGCATCAATATATTTTCTTTAATAATTTTTATTACTTTTGCACTTGTTTTAATACGTAAGTACATTCTGTGTTTCTCTTAACACTTCGCTTCTAACTGGTATAAGAGGCTAGCATGCTAAGTGCTATATCTAGAATATATCTACAATTAAATGTAGTTTTAGAAGAAAAAAAAGTTTTAAGATTGAAATTTTTATTCTATAATTAGTTTTTATTAAAAAAATTTTTTAATTATTTTAATTAATTATTGTTAACTAATAAAAATAAATATTTAATAATTAAAGTTTATTTTCATTTATAATTTTATTTTGTGTAAATTTTTGAGCATCATTAGGTTTTTTTTTTTTTTTTCATGTAACCCAAAGTTGAGCTAATGATTATGATTTAAAAAGCCTAGAATGGTAACTGCACACAAAATTCTTTTTATTATAAATTATATATTCTTTTAATTTTAATTAAATATTTGTTTCCTTTTTTCCATACTAATTTCCAAGAGCTTTATTTTAAAAGTAATCTCCTAACTATTTACATTTTGTGTTAAATGTCTACTACCAACATAAAAAATATTTTTATATATATATATATTTATAGTTTGAATATTTTGTTTGTGAAATCCAATGTACTGTTCTGAATCTTAAAACTTTCTATCAGAAACAATGTAAATAATGTTATGTTAATTAGAAATAGAAAAAGCTATAATTTTAAGGGATTTTAATATTTTAACAAAAATTTTATGACTGTTTTTTTTTTTTTAATAAAAAANNNTGAGATGCCTCTTTTTTTTTTTTTTTTTTTTTTTTTGATAAAATTTTATTCTAAGAAAATTTTTTGAATATTTTTTTCTTTATCTTTGGTGTCTAGATTTAAAAATGTTATTTTGCATGCAAAGTTGAGAGACTTCAAGTTTATAAATCAAAGTTTTTTTATTTAAAAAAAAAGAGAGAGAAATGGACAGA